ATTATGCTTAGCCTTGAAGAACGTGAACCCGATGAAAAGACAGCTAACAATGTTCAGGATGAGTTTCGCCATGAGGTACGTGGGGTTTCTCCAGTGCACTTCCACATCACGCTTTAGGAATTCCAGCACTTGGTATGCCCAAGGATTGGCAAATTCGGTATGTATGGATGCGGCAATTGCTGGCCGGTTACGACCTTCAACGTGGATAGCTTCAATTTCCCGCTGGGTCTCCTTTGACTCCTGGAATGATTGCCAGAGTTGATACCAATCTTGTTCGCTCGTAGCGGTTGAACCAGCTCCGATGACGCCCAGCACGTACTCCGCACTACATCATGGGCAAACTTAACTGAGCGTTCTTGTCAGGCAAATAAGAACTCACGGATTTTCGTCATCAAGACTAGGCAGTGCCCAATTCTTCTCAAAGTACTCAATCAATGTGGTGGCGTTTCGACCAAGGTCACCGAAGTAGGCAGTGCGACCACCCTTTTGAAGAAGTAGAAACCTGCCGAAAACCTTACAATGATAGTGTTAAACATTGTGTGGAAGAGCTGACGGGATCGTACTTGGATTGACTCCGCTGACGGCTGACGTATCCTGGAAGACGCAGAAAAGTCAGGGAAGAACATGTCCTAGAACGGCGAGGAAATCCGTGAAAAGAATGGCCTGTCCGTTATCTGCAAAACTCCTCAGGAATGACATGATTGCGCAAGCTCTTTGCGAGTCAAGACCTGACGTAGGTTCGTCAAAGGACAACAAGAGTTTAGGCTAATCATGGTAGGCGTCAGTTGAAGCACATGGCAGTCGTTGGTGGGAGACTGACCTTCGCTGCAAGTTCAACAGCAATAGTAGTTCGCTTCCGATGCTCGATGCCAATAGATTCAACAGAACTGTTTGCATATTTCTCAAGACCACTCGGACAGACGCCAACTGACCCGTTTTGTTGAGACTCGAAGGTCGTGGTTGAGCTTGTTGATGGACGCTGTGGCCATGGATAACGGTGAGCACGATCCATCAAAGTGTAGCGATGGTGACTGACCTTGCCTCTGACCACCACGTCGATAGCATTCAGCGCCCATTCGTACACCAAATTCTTAATCTCGGCCCTTGCGACGCGTACTTAGTATGACGGCGGACGCGACGTATGTTTCAGAGGTGGTTGTTCAGAGATGGTCGTTCTAGGACATAGGTAAGTCATTGACAATGGCTTGAGGGCTGCCGTGAAAACCTACCATAATCGTGCACTTTCAGACATGCGTCGTCGACAGAGCATGCAGGGAGGGGACACGTTGTGTGGATTGGGGGAATGGCTCTTCTAGTGCGTACGCTTTCTAATTTCCTTTTTTCCTCGCTTGGCTGATCATTCTCTACTAGTACTTTCCCAAGCTCTTCTCTCGTGGCCCATCGCCCTATCGCAAGCTCTTCTTCATCCCTATCCTCTGCGCAAACATCTGGATACTTCTGGCCTATGGTTTTATGTCCAGGAATGGTCTACATGGTTCCAATCTGTACGTCGTCATCAACCCTCGTGAATCTGAATCTACATTGAGCTCATTGCCTAGGCACGTGTGAGTACGCCTCATTCTATAACGGAGTCTCACCACGAGCACAACGCGCAGGTCCTGCAATTGTCGGTGCTGAACGGCACCTTCAACTTCCAGGATGTCCACGTCTAGATTTGGCCACCATGCTGACATTCCCGTTACCAACTTCATTTCCCGCGCTGATGTTACCGGACAAGTTCTTGTCTTTCGTCTGGTCTAACGTCGTTTCTAGGCAACAGGCCATGGAAGGAAGCTTGCGGCCTCGGCTCTGACCCTTACTATATCGTGGGTCATGTTCACGAATCCCAAGGTGGTTTTACCAGCGCTTACGTCTTCGCAGGTTTTTTCAGTCTGTTCTTCCTCCACAAGCGTGTTCGTGCTCGTCGCGAGTCTCGTCTCAGACTGGAAGGTGCTGAGGTGGGTCAGGTGGTTCCAAACAACGACTACAGCGCCACTTCGCGTCCTCGGCCCCAGCGCCCTGTTTATGATCCCCCAGATGCCCCCATGGCCAGGTGGATCTTCTGAGCTGAATGCAGTGCCGTAATCGTCGGAAAAAAGGTCGGATGTGAAGGAGGGGAAGGTGAGGGCTGCGAAGAAATTGGACCAAGTCTCCGATGGAATGTCAATGGATCTAAAGGCGAGGGTGGTGATGTACTCTCCTTTGAGTTGAAGCGTGGACAGGCAGCATTTTGCAGTGCACATACTCAAGAATTTCAAAACGAGGTGGCGATTTTCTGGCTGCGCTATCTCATACTTGTAGTACCCAAATTAAAGCCACTTTCTATGATCCTGTCTTACTCTTTGAGAGTGAGAAACACGACGTTGGATACAAGTTAAATGGTGCGCAATTCCCAACTCGATTTTAACCGGTGAACTGAAATCTGACGATCAGATCTAGCTGGAGATAACGGAGCGTGACGTGACTCGATCAGCCTCATTGCGATTCTAATTTATTCACACTATGTTCAATGATCGAAACTGTGAACATAATTTGAATATCATCAAGATCTATCCTGTGAATATATCAAGATGAAATTTAGAATATATCTGGTGAATAAATTCTAAATCTAGTTTCCAATATATCCTGCATCTATTCAGCGACTAAATTTCAAATATGATCAGCATATATTCTTTGCTTAAAATGGATTGAATAAACTCTAAATATAAGCACAGAATAAAACAGAAACATATTGAAGAATAAATTTTAAATATCTTCAAAATATAAACATTGAATTTGAGTTTAAAGATATTTTAAATTTATCCTCTGTATATTCAAAGTTTATTCATTGAATATATAAGCCCATGCCCGCAGTGTGAAGTCATACCTTGGTTCATGATATATGAAGTCTGTTATTTACCACGCCCCCAAAACCGCGTTAGAAAATGTTTATGTAATCTTCGGACTTTGAAACCGCATCGCGTCAATATTGCCTCCTTGCCGTTTGCTCTCGACGTGATATCTCACGCATTTCTATTCCAATACACCTTAAACTTGATGTTATACTTCTTTACTTTTGGTGAATTCATTTGCCAAATTGAACGACGCTCAGATAACCACGCCTTTCGACCACGCTCATCACTTTCCGGCTCGCATCTGTCTCCAACACTCGACACATTCCTTATCATGATCCAAATTCATTTCCCATCGAATTTCGGCCGTGTTCTTCACGACTCATGGGCTTACTACTTGAGTCATTTATCAGCGCTCTTTGATTTCATCATTCAAACCCATACATTGATCACAGTGCAACGAAACACCTCACGAGAACCACTCTAGTAGCCAAGCAACGCAAAAAACGGCAGGCCACAAGAGCTGTAAACGATGACGACATGGCCCAATCTTATTTGATCCGGTCGCTGAACCTTTTGAAGAAACGGTTAACGAACCTCGAACAACAAGTGCCAGGCTCAAATATATGACGAATGCCGCAAAGTGGCAACGACGAGCTCCTAGATCTGCTCAGCTCAGTGTTGCGCAAGTCCTTCAAGACTATGGTCCACGGTCTCGGGACCCGTACCCGCCAAATGCGCTTGTAGAAGGATCGTCTGAAGGTGGTAGTGGAAAGAGAATGGAGGTCTGACGAGGTGGAGGATGAAAGATGACAGTAGACATTTAGGAGAAGATTTTACAGGCGCCAAAGCTCTGGAATGTGACGAACTGAGTGGAGATGCTATGGGAAGGCTGAGAGGAAGTCTAGTGCTGCAGGAGCTTGGATTGTAGGCGTTTTCTTGGGTGATCGGACGCTTCGAACATTTTTATTGATATAAGGAAGCAATTCAATGGGATATGAATTCCATTTGCAAGGCTAGGAGGAGTTTTGGGGCTATAAACGCGTCAAAGGGCCTAGAGGGACGAGGGAATATTGACGCGACGCGGTTTCAAAGTCCGAAGATTACATAAACATTTTCTAACGCGGTTTTGGGGGCGCGGTAAAAACAGGACTACATATTTGGCATCCCTACGACATTCACCAAATTCTAGCAATTGTAACTTGAGGCCCAACTTGAAGTGTGCAGGACTCGCAGTGTCGGGGTTAATATTGGGAATTTTTTGCCTCGAGTTTTTTGATTACATTCAGCTCAGATGCGCCACACTGCGCCCCGGTGGAGTTTGCGATCCAGCCTCAGGCACCACCTGGGAAATTTTTCTGTGTTTCGCGCCGGGTTTAGACGCCTCGTTCGAAGCCTTTTTCTCAAATATCCCCGCACTGCTTTGCCCTTGGTGAAATTGGTTCCGCTTATTAAGGCTCAATTCCCACTGGCACACAAACGGCACCTGGAGGGTCGCAACATATACATATCATCTGAAACTCTTTTGAGCTGTCGCCGCTCCACCCCATTCTTCTCCCACAAAACCGACTTGAGCGTTGTGCAAGCATACGACGGTATTGCTTGCGACCATGTACATGCCCACCATTCTGGCGCTTCGAGGTGATCTAATTTATGTTGCTTCGATATCTCCAATTTACATCCCAATACTTATACCAGTCACGAACTTCGTTCTCACCTTGATCGGTGTCCTTGCAACCTGCTTTCGGCTATGGCGCCGAAAGACCACAACTCATATTTGGTGGGATGATATATGGGCCGCGCTGACGATGATCCTCGGGATTATTTTCATGACGTCTTTTGAGCTCTTCCTTCAAAATCAAAGTAAGTGTTTTTACTTCCTCCCTTACCATCATACATACTAATTTGATTTGCTCCTTCAGCGTCTCACACTCTTGCAACTAAAATAACTATTTATTACCTGTCAGGCCTTTTTCCTGGCATCAAGGACTTCCTACTAACTTGCATTCAATCAGTGTTGCCCAGTCTTATATTGCTGTCAATTCGTAAGATCCACACTGCTACTCCATTCCATGTGTTGTAACTGCATCTATCTAGGGCTGCCAGAATCTCAATCCTTTTTATCGTGATCCGCATCTCCAATGGAAGAATGCGGTATATTCTCAAATGGATCGCCGCTATTTTCGTTCTGACATGGGTTATTCTTACCGCTCAACTGCTCTGGACGTGCGAGGGGAAAAACGCGGATTGGGGCCCAGGCCATCTGATATGTGTAATGCCCTTGAGAGTTGCGATCGTACAATTGACCAGTGAGTTTCAACATCATGGCTTTATGATGATTTGTCTCATTCTTTTACAGCCGATACGTTGAGCGACGTCATCTTAATTGTAGCGCCCCTCCGTCTTGTCTGGAATATAAAGTTATCTCGCCCACAAAAGATCCGCATTATAACGATTTTCTCCAGCACGATAGCTATGACCATTTTTAGTCTTAATCATGCTTGTTGGCTGATAGTAGACGGTGGCGGGTTATCTGAGGCCCTGGCGGCAGTCATCCAGGTGTGTATAGGGTTGCCTCTTCGCGTCCTTTTTGCTGACCTTCAACTCGACTAAGAATTCCGTTAGTCTGATTGTTTGCAATTTCAGCGTCATAATCGCCTTCATCTTCCAAATCGCGGCGGAAGATGCAAGGAGCTCTTACCATGTAGAAGCTGGGAGCCTCTCTCTCCGGTGCAAGGTGCCTAGCGGTGTGCCTTCAGGGACAGGTGTGCGTATTGAGCGGACCGAAGTGATAACTTTGGACAGCCTTGGTTCATTGCACGGGAATACGACTAAAGTCGGTCAACCTTTTGACACGGATAGCAAGGATTTTTTGACGGAGAAGGACTGCACATGAAGGACCGCACTTTAGACATCTGGAAAAATGCTCCTTCAATTTTTGAGGTACTGCTTCACGTAGAAATGACGCTCGAAGATCGTAATCACGGAGCTGTAGATGCGACGATGGTACTCTCGAGTTTATTTCTTGATGTTTGAAAAAATATTGAGATCGGGCCCCGAAGCAGGTCCTGTGGGTGCAGGGGGGAAGCGGTGTCAAAGCTATGTCCAATCGAAGATCTATATAGCGTAAGAAAGCAGCTCGAAAGAGCTCCTTTTCTTGCTCTCATTTTGAACCTTAATGAAACCGGATCGACGCTACTGAAACAAGGAGGGCCACTTCTGCAAGCTTCTGCAAAGGAACCAGTCAGAAGCGTACAGGCACATTTAGGCGATGAAATTTATTCATAGATAGATTTCTAGTCAAGCCCACAGTCAATCTGGTGATTTTCGAGCAATCCTCGCAATCCACTCTATACCGTCGACTCGGAGAAAGGAGCGTTATGGCTTACTGTTGGTTCTCGTCAAGGGTTTCAGGTATGCCATTCCTGGGGAGTTGTCGCCGTTAGAGGATCCTATGGGGCCTGAGGAGGAGGGGAGACGGTTGTTATGGAGGTTCCGGTGAGGGGATTGATTGGTATATTCCAGTATAAGAATGAGCAGGGGTGAGTCGTTTCTGGTTGCGTCTTTTGGCCGTTTGACGCTGATTTCTTTCTTTCTTTTTTCTTTTTTTTGGATAGGATGGTCAAAGGATGGTCAACCATATACGCTAGTCGTGTTTTTACCGCGCCCCCAAAACCGCGTTAGAAAATGTTTATGTAATCTTCGGACTTTGAAACCGCGTCGCGTCAATATTCCCTCGTCCCTCTGGGCCCTTTGACGCGTTTATAGCCCCAAAACTCCTCCTAGCCTTGCAAATGGAATTCATATCCCATTGAATTGCTTCCTTATATCAATAAAAATGTTCGAAGCGTCCGATCACCCAAGAAAACGCCTACAATCCAAGCTCCTGCAGCACTAGACTTCCTCTCAGCCTTCCCATAGCATCTCCACTCAGTTCGTCACATTCCAGAGCTTTGGCGCCTGTAAAATCTTCTCCTAAATGTCTACTGTCATCTTTCATCCTCCACCTCGTCAGACCTCCATTCTCTTTCCACTACCACCTTCAGACGATCCTTCTACAAGCGCATTTGGCGGGTACGGGTCCCGAGACCGTGGACCATAGTCTTGAAGGACTTGCGCAACACTGAGCTGAGCAGATCTAGGAGCTCGTCGTTGCCACTTTGCGGCATTCGTCATATATTTGAGCCTGGCACTTGTTGTTCGAGGTTCGTTAACCGTTTCTTCAAAAGGTTCAGCGACCGGATCAAATAAGATTGGGCCATGTCGTCATCGTTTACAGCTCTTGTGGCCTGCCGTTTTTCGCGTTGCTTGGCTACTAGAGTGGTTCTCGTGAGGTGTTTCGTTGCACTGTGATCAATGTATGGGTTTGAATGATGAAATCAAAGAGCGCTGATAAATGACTCAAGTAGTAAGCCCATGAGTCGTGAAGAACGCGGCCGAAATTCGATGGGAAATGAATTTGGATCATGATAAGGAATGTGTCGAGTGTTGGAGACAGATGCGAGCCGGAAAGTGATGAGCGTGGTCGAAAGGCGTGGTTATCTGAGCGTCGTTCAATTTGGCAAATGAATTCACCAAAAGTAAAGAAGTATAACATCAAGTTTAAGGTGTATTGGAATAGAAATGCGTGAGATATCACGTCGAGAGCAAACGGCAAGGAGGCAATATTGACGCGATGCGGTTTCAAAGTCCGAAGATTACATAAACATTTTCTAACGCGGTTTTGGG